GACGTGGCACTAGAGGCGGGGAAGGTGGGTGAGGAGGGGAAGGTGGTCTGACCTGTTCCAGTCGCTGCTGCAGGGGTTGAAGGTGGTTCTGGAGGCGTGGTTGCTGAGAATGTGCTGGTGGCAGTGGGCTCTGGTTTTGAGTCAGTGGCTGTAGACAGGGCTCCAGCGGGGAGCAGAGTAGAGGAAAGTCCTTCTGTATTTGTAGTACCAGTGACTGTGGTGAGTTTTGTAGGAGTTGAGAAAGAAATAGCAGCAGATGCAGAGGTAGTTCTTTGGATGAGAGACTCCCTGTGGACACTAGATGGGGTCGGTGTAGTCCTTTTTGTGGCCCCTGTTGTAGAGATTAAAGGATGGGGCTGTGGCTTGTGGCTCGTGTCGGTGAGTGGGGCTGAGGAAGAGGGTAGGTCCTTTGCAGTAGGAAAAGAGGCAAAGGCGGAGGTCGCTATCTCAGCAGTATTCACAATCACTCGCTTGTCTGTCCCCAAAGTGCTGGTGTAAGAAGAGCTAGGATGGGGCACAGGGGTGCCTGGCACAGAGGTGTTGGGGTAGATGGAAGGGACGCTAAGCCTGGTGGGATTCACAGACAAGAGTGTAGGAGGAGAAGTTCCAACCTTCACGACAAGCTCGGGGGTTGCTGAGGTGTCAGAACGGACCGCAGGTTTGAGTAGCGTTTCAGAGGCGGGTCTAAGGTCAGGGGTCATGGTGAGGGGCGGAGATGTGTTTTCCCTGTTGCCTGCAGCAGAAGAGGCAGTTTGAGGGGGACTGGGCGGAGAGCAGTGTGCACTGCTCCTGCACCAGGGGTTCCTGTGTTGACGGAGAACACAGGAACCCACTGGTGAATTCGTAAGTCACTGTCACGCCACGCAGGCTATTCACTACCCCGTTTTCCCGACACAAAGGGCTGGGTGTGACAGAGCTTATCCCCACCACCACCACCAGAGGCGCTAGAGGCCTTTTCGCGCTGAGGGCTTCCGGTTTGAAGCCCACCATCAAGAGGCTGACTAGAGCAGCGGGGTGAGCGGCGCTGTTCCCCAGTCCTGCAGCGCTGCACTTGTCATCAGCCAGCTGACGCTCCCCCTTCTTCCTCCACACCTGGGCCCTCCCCTTCCCTCTCCATCCTCCCCTCCACCTGCTGCCCGGAATCCTCCTCCCCACTGGCTTTCTGCCCCCACCCTTTGACCCTTCCCTGTCCTTCCAACCTGGAGACTCTTATCTCCTTCCTTCCTTTGTGGAGAGAGAAACCCTTGAATGCTGCGCTGGGGGTTGGGGCTTGGCATGGACACCGGGAGACAAGGTCAGAGGGGACAGAGGGGGAAGACAGGTTGCAGCTCAGGCTGTTCGGAGACTGAGGAATGTGAAGGGAGGAGGGCCTCGAGGAGCAGATACGCGCAGGAATGCCTGGAGAAGGAAAGTCCCAGAGAGAAAGTTCCCAGGAGACAGAGCATGAATTCTGGAGACCGGAAGGTTTAGTGGAGAATGTTCATCACAGAGTCAAAAGACGGGTGTTCTGTTTCAACCCCTGGATTAGCCTAGGAGCATAGAAGAAGTCAGTTTTTAGACAGCACCCGCCCATTTCACAGATGGTGACACTGAGGACCAGATGTCTCCCTGCTGGGCTGAGGGACTGAGAGAACAGGCAGCTGGCGCCAGCAGGAAGTGCCCCCCACTGAGCTCCTCTCCCTGGGATGGAGCTCAGTGTGCTTCTTCCTGAGAGAGCTAGGAGAGCTACATGTCACTTGGGAGGGGGCTTTCCGACCGGATGTGGCCAGCAGGAGGAATCAGGGGCCTCTAGCTTGGGGATGGGGTCTAGGACTGTGTCACTGCAGAACAGAGAGGAGAAAGGGCCAATCAAGGAATCAGAGCTCCTGAGGACAGCAGGATTCACCACACCCCACACCATGCGTCTAGGAGCCTCCTTGGGGCGAGGCAAAGAGGACCTCCCTGGTGACCACAACTATGCCCAGAAACGGGGCCCTGGCGTGACGGGCGGCTTGAGCGAGGGGCAGAGCTGTGGGGGGCTGGACAGAGAGAAGGAGCGCAGAGAGACCCCGGGCCTGGAGGCACTGATCACAGCAGAGGAGGGAAGAATCCTTTGTGGAGAGGCCCCGAGCCTGAGGGGAGGGGGACAGAGGAACCAGGAAGGTAAACAGAGAATAGAGTCCAGGAGGAAGAGCCATGTTCTGGGAAGAGTTCACTCCCACCCTGGGATACAGATCTGAGCGCTGGACCCCTGCAGCCTGTTCAGTCCTAGATCAAAAGCAGCAGCAACTGACCCAGCTTCCTTCTCCACCACCTCCGTCCACCCTGGCCTTTGCCAGGAGAGCTTGGTGCAAGCCCTCCAAACGTCTCGGAGCCCCCTCTCCACCCGCCCTGCATCCCCTCCCATTTCCCCCTTACCTGTGGCCCCTACGGGGACCCTGAGCATCCAGAGGATGCTGAGGAGCCCGGGCAGCAGCATGGGCCCGGTGGGCAAGGCTGGTCCCCAGGGCTGAGGGCACAGCAGGTGCCAGGACCGGGAATGGCAGCTGGATCCCTGCCACAGACAGCCTCGGTGTGCTCAGTAACACCTGGCCTCAACCGAAAGTGGCTATCTGCCCAGCCTAGCGCTCCGGGGAGCCGTTCACCTTTGCCCCACCCAGCCTCACATCCTCCCCCTCCCCCTGCGCCTTGCAAAGGGAGGGAACAAAAGGACAAGCCCCAGGAGATGGGGGGGCTGCTGGCGTCACCCCTAGCTGTTCCTTCCAAGGACGCTGCCTCTCCTCCCCTGCCCTTCATGGAGGACATGCAGGCCTGCTGAGGCAAGGCCACTGCGGTGGATTCCAGGATCCAAGCCACCCTTGCAGCCTTCCTTCATTCCAGTCTTTGGAAACTCACTGTTCCCACTCCATCCTCCCTCCAGGCCACCACCAGCAGGGCTCTGGCACTGTGACCCCACAGCGAGATACATCCAGGGAGTCACAGAAGCCGTGCCTTTAAAGAGGTGAGCCAGGGCCCCCGAGAAGGAAGGACCAGGGACCACAAAAACAACGGCACCCCATGGTTTGGACTATTAGGGAGCAGCTCTGCACCTATTAGGGCGTTTGAGTCCAGCCAGTGCTGGCAGCAGGGTGAAGAATTACTGCTCCTACATGGCCAGTGGAAGTGGATTGGGTTGCTTTAAAATGGCAGTGTCTGTAATCTCAGCACTCGGCAGGTTGAGGCTGGAGGATCCGTGATTTCAAGGCCCGCCTGGGCTACATAGTGAGTTCAAGCCCAGCCTAAACTACATAGTGAGACCCTGTCTCAAACCCCCTCAAAAAAGGTAAAATGACTGCATCTATTTGGTGTTTTTGTTTTATCTTTGAGACAGGGTCTCACTATGTATTCCAGATTGCCTTTATTTAATTTTGGTTTTTGTTCGTTTCAGGGGTGTGGCCGATTGAACCTAGGGCCGCACATGTGCTAGGGAAACATTCCACCGCTGAGCTACAACTCCAGCCCGTCTATCAAGGCTTGAAAGGTATGCTCTAGGACCCAGCAATTTCACCCGCCCTTGTGGGGCTATAATCCCAGCACTTGAGGGGCTGAGGCAGGAGGTTTGGAAGTTGGAGTCCCATCTGGACAATTTAGTGAGATCCTGTCTCAAAATGAGTGAGACAACAGTGGAGGTAGCACAGTGGTAGAGCAAGCCTGGGTTCAATCGCCAGTAGCACAGAAAAATAAAGAAATGAAGAAGAAAAAGGAAGAAGAGAAGAAGGGCGAGGAGGAAGAAGAGAGCAAGGGAGCATTCAGGAGGATGCTTCTCCAGCCAGGGGACTGCAATTCCAGCGGAATTTGGAAACCACCAAAATGGGATTGTTGCAATCCAGAAAGAGGATGGGGGTCGGGTATCTCCTGGTAGAGCACTTGCCTAGCGTGGATGCTGGGTTCGATCCTCACCACTGCAAAAAAACATGTATAGGGGCCAGGAGATAGCTCAGTGGCACAGTGCCCGCCTGGCAAGTGCAAGGTCCTGAGTTTGATTCCCAGTGCCAAAAAAACAAAGATAAAAAAAGTACACATGGAAGCTGAGTTGAACTCCATGCTGGATTCTTGGAATACTCGTTACTAATTGCACTCACACATAAATGCAGATGGTCCTCGTACAGTGTTCAATAAATTACACAAAATATTCAACTCTAAATTACACAAAATAGGCCTTGTGTAAGATGATGTTGCCCCACTATAAACTGATGTCAATAAACTAAGCATGTCTGGGGTCGGCTGAGCTTTGGGCTGCTAACTGCATTTTCACCTTAAAATATGTCTAGTTTCTGAAGGATTCAGCTGGACATAACCCCCACCATACGTCAAGGAAGATCTATTTGCAAAAAGTCTTGTTGCTGTTTCCCAAAGCCATCTCCTTGGATACCACCAGAGTCTTAGAATCCAGCACCAAGCCCGCCAAGAAGCTGAAAACGAAACTACAGGTTTGGAGAGTTTCCAATCCTTGTGGTGGTGCGAGGGCGGGTGTGTGTGTGTGTGTGTGTGTGTGTGTGTGTGTTTAGTAATAGAGATTGAACCCAGGGCCTTGACACTGAACTACAACCTCAGCCCTTTTTTATTTTGTTTTGAGACAAGCTTTTGCTAAGTCACTAAGTTGCCCAAGCTGCACTCAAACTTGAGATCTGCCTGCCTCAGCCTGCAGAATGCTGACATTACAGGCACTTGCCACTATGCCCGGCTCCAGTGGTTTTTTTTTTTAATTACCTTTTTTTTTTTCTTTTTTTCTTTTTTTTTTTTTTGTCTTTTTGAGACAAGGTCTCACTATGCAGTTTAAGGCTGGCCTTGAGCTCACTTTGTAGCCCAGGCTGGTCTCAAACTTGCAACAATCCTCCTGCCTCAGCCTCCCGAGTGCTGGGATTACAGGCGTGTGCCAGCAGGCTCGGCTTAAATTATCAAATACCATAAAATGGCCATCATGGTGCTGGGGCGACAGACATAAATGAATCCCTGTTGTGAGTACACCAGGCCCCTGGGGAGATAGACTCTGCTTTCCCTTCTCTTTCATCTCTTTGTCTGCCCACATCCTCCTCTGCTGCAGCCTACAGCCTCCTGGCTGCAGGCTTTGTCCACCATCCAGCTTTCCCTGAGCTGCTCCTACAGCCAGAATCCCCCTCTACCTCACTTCCTTTCTCTCAGCCTACATGTCCTTTGTCCCCTCCACCAAGTGTGATCAACAAGTGAATCTGGAAACGCAAAGGATCTTTCCCACGACACGTACTTATCATGCACTGGCGGAGCCCAGACACTTGATCACCTTTGCATCCTGAGCTGGGCAGTGTCTGCTCTGCTCCACAGCCAAGGAGGACAGGGACAAGCTTGGACTGCTGCCGTCCCCCTACTGCTGTAGGGAATGGCCCACCCCCACCCCGGAAAGCTGGAGAGGAGGGAAGGACAAGCAGCGCTGAACCAGAGCTACAGAATCCGATGCTGCTTTTCCATGGGCTACTTGAGACCCAGATGCCACCACATGTTCACATGGCCCCAGCCAGAGCTCATGATGAACCAGAGGGCTGCTGGGTAGAAGGAAGGGCCGGGGATGGGAAGACAGGGATGCTGAGGTCCGGGGAGTCGGACTTCATGACTCCACCACTGGGCTTCTTCCTGGTGACACAAAAGTGGGACTCCTGGGAAGTCAGTAAAGGGCACCGGCCTCTCTCCCAAGTCCCACCTTGGTCACTGGGGTCTAGGGGAAGCCATGAATCTTAGAAAGTACAAGCTGGGAACATTCCCCGTGCGTCAAGGATTAGGGACAAAGTGTTGGAAGCAGAGCCCAGAAATAGGTCAGGACGTGAGGGAGGAACAAGGGCCCGGGAATGTTAGGCCACTGTGCCACGTTCATCTGAATTGTGGCTGCAGGTGTGGCTGGTGGCATCGGCAGGAGCCAGGGAGACCCAGGAGAGTTGCCTCTAAAGTCATGGTGAGGGGTCGGGACAATGATTTTCTTGATGGCAGGTGAAAAGCTGATACCTGGCTTTGAAACAAGTGCAAGCCAGTGAGGGTTGGTGTTCCCCCCAGGGGATGTCGGGTTATGCTGCATGACAAACAGTTCTGAAGGCTCAGCAAAGCACACACAGAGGTTTATTTCTGGCTCACGCTGCTCACCATTCCAGTGTCTGGATTCTGCTCCAAGACACCTTCACTCTGAGACCCAGGCTAAAGGAGCATTTGTACAGCTCTGACAAAGACTTGCCAAGGATTCAGTCTTGTCTGCCAACATCCCTCAAGGAAAAAAAATTTTGGGGGGTTGGGGGGACAGGGTCTCGGTATGCAGTCCTGGGATACTGTTGGTCCCACAGCAGTGGAAAATGACAGCACAGCCACCAGCTGACTCGAACAGCTTCTTTCAGAACAACAAGCATCCCTGGTGCCCGCCTTTTATTGGCCAAAGCAGGTCATGTGGTTTTCCTGGAGTTTGGCAGGTCAAGGACATTAGGCTATCAAGGACATTAGGCTATCAAGGAAAGCAGCGCCAGCCAGACATCAAGTCTGGTACCTGTGGGGCAGGGAGTTCTACTTCACCCTCGAGAGGGAAAGCAAAAAATTCAAACAGTAACACAGTTCACAGCAGCTGAGGGCCTGGCAGTGGTTATCAGCTATGCTAATCAAGATTCCACCAGCGCTGGGCATGGTGGCACACACTTGTCATCCCAGCTCTTGGGAGGCTGAGACAGGAAGATCGCCTCAAGTTTGAGGCCAGCCTGGGCTACATAGTGAGTTCAAGGCCAGCCTGGACTGCATACCGAGACCCTGTCCCCCCAGCCCCCAAAATTTTTTTTTTCCTTGAGGGACACTGGCAGACAAGACTGAATCCTTGGCAAGTCTTTGTCAGAGCTGTACGAATGGAGGAAACCCCTGGGATGGGAGAATTAGGAAGCTCAGTCGGGGGACGGTGAGCTCAACCCCAGTAATCAAGGATGTTGGAGAACTTCCAGGGTGAAGGAGGGGACCGTCCCAGGGAAAGTGGACGCTGTGCTCATCCTGGAAAAGGGAGGGTCCTCCCAGGACAGGACAGATTGGGCCAGGCGCTCATGGCAGCATCTCAGTAGTCATTCCCGCGGGAAGGAGGCAGCTTCCATACCCAATCCTGTGTCCAGATGCCAGGTGGTGTGGGAAGCAGGGGTGGGAAAACTGCGTCCCTCTGGCCCCTTTGTACAAGAGATGAGACAGAATTGAAACTAGTTTGGTAATAAGCAAGACGGTAGGACAAGATGTTTCACATCTTAAAATTGAGAAATAGGGCAATATTGAGGCTAAAGCCAAGTGTGATGGTGCACATCTGTAATCCCAGCACTTAAGAGGCTGAGGCATGAGGACTGCAGTGAGCTCGAGCCCAGCCTAGGCTACAAAGTTAGTTCAAAGCCTGAGCTACATAGCAAGACCCTGTCTCAAAAAACTCTCCCCAAAAACTGAGGGAAAGGATCAATATGCAGTCCAACTCTAACCACGTGAGTTTTTAAGAGGCTAAAAAATAGTCTACTTATGTGTAAACCATCCATAACTAATAGCTAACAGCATTACGTACATGTATAGTAAGTAAAGAATACTCCAGTCAAGGAGAGAGATTCTGCTAAATTACATTCTCCGCCCAAAGCCCAGATGACCAAACAATTAACTCTGCTATCTTCTTTGAGCTTCCAGCAACTAAACTCATCACAGGAAGAAAGGACTGAAGCCGCCAGCCCACCTGGAGAGACTTTGTCACATGCCATTGTCTTCTGTTTTGGTCCCAAGGAGAATCATTTACAAACCCTCACCTGAACCTCACAGACTTTGTCCCAGGCCATTGTGTTCTCCAAACACACCGAGTTCCTGTAAGACGCCACTGATTAGGTCCCTGAGGTTCCTTATCCGTCCCCTCCCCTGTAGAGAAAGGATATGTAAGTTTCTGCATTATGCTGAGATAGTGGCTAAGCATGCTCCTGTGATTTGCTGCCATGCTGTGATTATCCCCCTCTTATAACCAATCTGCATGACTTTTCTTCTAAAAATTAAAAAAAAAACAGGTTGTTTAACTCTATCCTCACCATATAGTTAATGGCCCTAAGGTACTTTCAGGATTGACAGTATAACTGTACCTGGCACCAAGAAAATAAGCTTCAAAATTTGAGTTTTTGTTTTTCTTTTAGAGATAAGCAACTTCTCCAAGCTTCCTTCTGCTGAGCACTTAGCCGACCCCACCTCCTGTCCCACTCCTCAGCTCCAAAGAAGTGACAGAACATGCAGTTGCCAGCCCCAGGATGCCAGGGGCCTGGTTTCTTTTCCACAAGGAAGAGGGGGATGAGCCAGGTGTGGTGGCCGTACCTGTAATCCCAGCACTCAGGAGGCTGAGGCAGGGGGATCGCTGCAAGTTCAAGCCCAGCCTGGGCTACATAGTGAGTTCATGGTCAGCCTGAACTGCATAGCAAGACTCCAACTAAAAAAAAAAAAAAAAAAGAGGAGGATGAGCTGATGGCTGGAAGTGACAAAGCAAGTGTGGAGCTCTGTCTGCATTGTGATCTGTGTGATGCCCCCCACCCTGTTGCTTACTATAGAAGACCTCTGTCCACCTGTACGTCAGGGATGGTGATATAAGGGACATGGGCCCCTCCATCTCCTTGGTGCTAGTTTTGGATAAATCCTTTGCCTTTTAACCCAAATATATCTCCTCCTTTGGTTTGGTCAGCAGTAAGCAGACAAACCTATGCTCATGAGCCTAAGTGCTTGGTTATTTAACATAATTTTACTGCTTATTTAAGAGCTCTGTAGCACATTTATGGTACAGGAATCATGTGTAAAGTGTTTTTCGTTAAACTTTTTCCCATCTCTGTTCCCTGTGCGGTTTGTTCCACGTGAAATTCTCTTCCTCTTTTTCTCCTTCTTTGTTTTATGCATGCCCAGCAACTGCTACAATAAAATCAACTGCCTACTGTAGCACCCACATCTCCAGGAACCTGAGATCACAAAGGGGTAGCCAGTTCTGTTTTTAACTTTCCTATTGGCCATTTCATTTATGACACTTTTTCTTTTTTTTTGGTCTTTTTTTTTTTTGTCTTTTTGAGACAGGGTCTCACTGTGCAGTTCAGGCTGGCCTTGAGCTCACTTTGTAGCCCAGGCTGTTCTTGAACTTGCAACGATCCTCCTGCCTCAGCCTCCCGAGTGCTGGGATTACAGGCATGCACCACCACACCCGGCTATGACTATTTCTTTAAGGCAGTCGCTACAGATTTATCCATGAATTTATCCTAAATGAGGCAGGGAGAGAGAGAGTAAGATCTGGCCAGCTTCTGACTGTAGCATGACTTCACAGTTTCATTTCTGGCTCTCCTGAGAACTAATAACTTCATAAATTTCAACCTGGAACTTGTCCTTTTGGAAGAATTCACGCACGAAGTTAAAGTAATGAATATCAATTTTTATGGATTTATGAGACGAAATGAAATGTAAAGGAAGCTGTGCAAACATTTCTCCTATGGTTAATCGTTTTCCAAGGATTGTGTAAAAGGTGGCCCACTCAGCCTGAGCACTCTTCTGTAGGTTCTGCAAAGTAAACCTGGTGCAGGAAGATTGAGTGTTACCCTCCTGGAATGTTAATCTCTACTCGTCTTCCTGCTAGAGTCTGCTAACCCAGCCCATACCTCACTACCCGCTGGGGAGGAACTTGCTCTCCTTGTCTACACCGAGCTGGCCCACTCCTTCCAGCGCAAACAGAATACTGAAAAGTAAATACTTGCGTCAGATGAGATTAAAATTTAGGACCAAAACAAATGAACTGAAAAGACACTTTGCTCAGCAGCAGGGACCATAAACGGCCAGCCTGTTTCTCCTTCTGCCCAGCGAGAGCCTTGCTGTTTCCAAACTCTTTGATGATGGTGCTGCTTTCTGGCTGACAGAATGGCTTTTTAAAAAAAACAACATACGGGGGCTGGGGATATAGCTCAGTGGCATAGGCACTTGTCTGGCAAGCCTGAGGTCATGAGTTCGATTCCCAGTATGAAAAAAAAAAAAAAGAGCATACTGTACTGAGCAGGTTGGTGCACACCTGTAATCCCAGCACTCTGGGAGGCTGAGGCGGGAAGATTACAAGTTTGAGCCCAGCTTGGGCAACTTAGCAATTCAGCACAACCTGTCATAAAATAACAATAAAAGGGTTGGAGGGGCTGGGGATTTAGCTCAGCGGCAAAAGCGCCTGCCTGGCAAGCGCAAGGTCGTGAGTTCGGTTCCCGGTACCAGAGAAAAACCAAAAAAAAAAAAAAAAAAAAAAAAAAAAAAAAAAAAATGGGCTGGGGATTTAGCTCAGCGGCAAAAGCACTTTCCTGGCAAGTGCAAGGTCATGAGTTCGGTTCCTGGTACCGGAGAAAACCCAAAAACCCCCCAAAAAAATAAAAATAAAAAATAAAAAAAAATAAAAGGGTTGGAGAAGGTCATGTGTTCCATCCCCAATACTGACACACACACATACACACTAACAGAGTACAGAAACAACCCATAGGAAAAAACATTGGTAAATCATATATCCAAAAAAGATTAAGATTCAGAATTTAGAGAGAACTCTTTAAAGTCAACAGTCAGGGGTGAGGATATAGCTCAGTGGCACAAGTGTCTGCCTGGCACACGCCAAGGTCATGAGTTCAATTTCCAGTACCAAAATAAATAAATAAATAAATAAATAAATAAAGTCAACAGTCAATAGCACTTAGAACAAAACCAAAAAACCTAGTTCAACAACAACAAAAAAAAAAAAAAAAAAGAAAGAAAGAAAGAAAGAAAAAAGGGGCTGGGACATAGCTCAGTGGCATAAGCACCTGCCTGGCAAGCGCAAGGTCCTAAGTTCAATTCCCAGTACCAAAAAAAAAACAAAAACAAAAACAAAAAGAACCATAATTAACATTTCACCAAAGAAGAACTACAAATACCCAATAAGCTCATGAAAAGATGCTCTATACTGAGGTATGGTGGCTCAGGCCTATAATCCCAGCACTCAGGAGGATGAGACAAAAGGATTGCCATGAGTTCAAGGCCATTCTGGGCTACATAGTGAGTCCAAGCCCAGCCTAAACTGCATAGCAAGACACTGTCTCAAAAAAAAAAGAGAAGATGCTCAACCATTAGAAAAATGCAAAGCCTGACATGGTGGTGCATTCCTGTAATCCCAGTACTGAGGAGGCTGAGGCAGGAGGATTGCTGCAAATTTGAGGCCAACCTGGGCTATGTAATGAGTTCAAGGCCAGCCTGAACTACCTATCGAGACCCTGTCTCAAAAAAAAAAAAAAAACCTACAAATCAGAAGTATAATGAGATGCCACCCACACCCATTAAGATGTCATAGATATGTAGGATGCTGGGGATGTAGGTTAGTGACAGAGTACTCGCTTAACATATGAGGCCCAAGGTTCCACTCCCGGCACAGCAAAAGAAGGAAGCAAAGGAGGGAGGGAGGAATGTTACTGAGGCCAAAAGGAAATTGGAACCTTTGCACCCTGCTGGTGAGAAATGCTAAAAGCTACAGCCACTGTCACATCCTTCACACAACTAAACCCAGAATGCTCCTTTGACTGAACAACCTGTATATACCCAAAAGAACTGAAAGGAGGGTCCCAGAGGGGTATTTGTGCACCCACGTAGCCAGCTGAATTACTCACGAGACCTAAAATGTGAGGCCATGCGCGCGTTCATTGCCAGAATCACAGGCGTGGGCCACCATGCCTGGCCGGGAGCCCACTATCTTAATCACTATGCTCTCTGAGTAAACATAAATTTTAGATTTGGGGGCAAAGTAGACATTTAGCAAGCCAAACATGCACATTTTACTGATGGGTGTGAAGCACACAGCAAAGCTAAACCACATGTGCAAGCATCCATGAGGAGACGAGCCGGGAAAGAATGGGGTCCAGCTTTGCTACCCAGAGGTGTGGGGCTAAGGACAAATCACCGGCCCACTTTGAGCAACGACTTCTTGTGTCCATGGCTTTCCCTCTGGACTCCTGGAGAGATGAATGCCCCCTAAGTCTATTCCAGGCTTGCAGATATTGTATAAAAAAAAAAAAAAGAACACCCAACAAGCCAGGTATGGTGCCGCACACCTGTCATCCCAGCACTCAGGAGACTGAGACAGGAGGATCACCACAAGTTCAAGGCCGGCCTGCACTACATAGCAAGACCCTGTCTCGCCAAACCAAAATAAATAAATCAATAAAAATTGAAAAGGCAATGTATAGATTATAACACTTGACAACACAAAAATAATACATAGTGTAACTTCAGAGGGAAGCAGCCAAAGAATATAAAACTTCGCTGATTCACCTTTCGCAGCTAGTTCCCAAGGTATAATTTAAAGCTGATTAAATAAGCAATAAATATATAAAATACTTAGCAGTACAAAGGTAAATACTAAGAAGATAATAACATGGACAGTCGGGGAGCACAGGGAGGTTGGAAAAAAAATTTTACTGGCCTCATTATTGCTCACAGCAAGATATCCATAGGCCAACACCGATAGCCTGCCCTGCTGTTCCTCGCTAGCCAGGATTGCAGGTGACTGCCATGTCTGCCACCACGCCCCGCAATCTCACTTATTTTCAAAAAAACACTTTTGGGCTGGGGATGTAGCTCAGTGATGGAGCCCATGCCTAGCATGCAAAAGGCAACACAAAATTTAAATAAATAATTAATTAATTAGACAAACATTAACACTGACACACACAGAAAAATCAAAATTCATATATGGGTTGGGCAGCTGAGGCAGGAGGACCTCGCATTCAAAGCCACTCTAGGCTACATAGCAAGTTGAAATTTGGCCTAGACTACGTAGCAAGACCCTGTTTTCAAAACAAAAAAACAATTTTTTTTCTGTGTTGAGACTCAATCCTTATTGTTACAGTACTTGGAGGAGGGGCTTGAGGAGGTGATCAAGTTATATAGAGCAGCCTCGATCAACAGGATCAGCAAACTTAGCCCTTCTGCCCAATGAGGACCTCGCAAGAAATTGACATCCAGGGACCTGGAAGTGAGCCCCCAACCCCACCAGGTACCCTGAGGGCTGCGTCTAGATCTTGGTCTCCCTGCCTGCAGGTGTGGGAGAAATGAACTTGTGTTTTATAAACCACACCCATTTATGGCATTCTGCTATAGTAGCCCAAGTGGACTAAGATGCCCACCCTCCCCCTGCTCCTAAATCTGCTCACCTGTTCTCCATCCCTGAAGTTTTCTCCCTTTTTCCTTTTTTATTTTTTGAGACAGGGTCTCACTATGCAGTTCAGGCTGGCCTTGAACTCACTATGTAGCCCAGGCTGGCCTTGAAATCATGGCAACTGCCCTGCCTCAGCTTCCCAAGTGTTGGGGCCACAGGTGTGTGCCGTCACACCTGGCTC